TGGTGAATTTACAACTCACATATTTGCTTTATCTTCTCCGCAACTAATTGGTAATAACTTACACCTTGTTAAACTTGCTAAAGCGATTCATCATATTCAATTTTAGTTGTGATTCTATTCTCATCATTTTCATCAAATTGGTTCGCATATCCGATCTTTCCAATATGTAAAGTTTAGGCGATCAGATTTAGGGTTGTCGCTCTCTGATAAAAACAATTTTACAAAAAGCACAAAATTTTCAAAGGGATCTATTCAACCCCCCCCCCCCCCCCTTCTAGATCCGTCACATCGTCTAACACTGTTTAGGTCCGCTTTGTTTAAGCCTGTCCAAAATCAGAGTGGGGCGGGTCATCTTAGGCGTCCGAGCTCAAAAATTAAGTCTGTCGCCCTATTTACTAACGAGTTGACGGGCTGCCGGGCCGGCCCGTCAATTTTTTATTTTTTTTATTTTACAATTTGATTTACTACACAATTTACAAATTTTTTAATTATTACCAAAGAGGTTGACAAAAGATTTTTTAACAACACATAATAGAACTTCAACATGTCTTAAGTTCAAACAATGCAAAAAATAAAATAAATAAAGATCAATTACAACAAAGAAATAATGAAATAAACTCAATCACAATAAAAAAAGTATCAAAATAAATAAATAAATAAATGATACATATCATCCTAATCCTATTTAAAATCTAACTAATAAAGAACCCAATTTAAATTTTACACAAGATAAACAATGATAACAATTACAGTGTATAAAACATCACAAAACATAAAATAGTAGTGCATAAAATATTAACACACTACGCCAAAAAAGACTTACGAAAGCGCTTTTTTGGCCTTTAAAAGCGCTTTCTAAGGTGCCGCTGCTATATGTTTTAGCAGCGCTTTTTATTTAATGAAAGCGCTTTCGTAGGTCTACCTAATACTGCACTTTTTCTAAAAAGCGCTCTCTTAAGTAGGCTTTTGGCAGCGCTTTTTTATGAAGAAGCGCTTTCATAGGTCTACCTAAGGCAACACTTTTTTCTAGAAAAGCGCTCTCATAAGTTTTCTTTTAGCAGTGCTTTTTTCTGGAAAAGCGTTGTCTTAGGTAGGCTTTTAGCAACGCTTTTTTCTGGAACAATCAACAAACACTGTTGGGATCTAAAACAAATAGAATCAATGTTTTTTACAAATGAATCTCAGAATGTATAGAAAATAAATAAAATCTTACAGAACAAATAAAATAAAATCAATACATTATAGAATCGAATCAATTACAAACGATTTCAACCCCTAATTTTCCTAATCACTCTAAATCTAAGCTCTAATCAAACTTGTAACGATGTTTTGAAAAATCTGAAACCCTAAGCCCTATAAATAGCTAAAGAAGAATACAGAGAAGGGGGGAAGATCTGAAGACGGAGCAGAAAAGAAGAAAAAACTTAGAGGAATACGGAGCCTTGCTGTTGAAAAGGAGAAAATATGATTTAGGGTTTCAATATCTGAAACCCTAAATCGCGCCGCCGTCAACCTCCCTTAAACGCATCTCCGAGCCGCCGTTACATCACCTACGAAGGCCATCACCTCCCTTGACCTGCAAATCGAAAAGAAATAAGAAGATAAGAACCAGAAACATAACATATCAGAACAATCGCGATCAGAGGTAAACGAAACTTAGCTTTTTGATTTCTGCATTTTGCTGTTATTATTTAGGGATGGTTAAGTTTTGAGTTTATAGTCGGGGGAAGGATCGGGTTTGAGCGCCGCTGCGGGGTTGGTTTTAGGGTTTGATGTTAGATGATAAATGAAGAAGGTGGAGTAGAGAGAGAGATAGAGAGAGAGAGAGAGAGAGAGAGAGAGAGAGAGAGAGAGAGAGAGAGAGAGAGAGAGAGAGAGAGAGAGAGAGAGAGAGAGAGAGAATGATAATGGTTAATGAACGAATGAACAAAAATGAAAATATAAAATGTATAAAAGTGATATATCATCCCTGCGATTTTATGTGAGAATAGAAAAGTGATACGAATTGTGTTTTGATATTTATTATAAAACTACCTACGAAAGCGCTTTTAAAAGCGCTTTCTAAAGGTCATCTATAACAGCGCTTTTACATCAAAAAGCGCTTTCGTAGCATATCCTATAGCAGCGCTTTTAAAAGCGTTTTCTAAAGGCCAGCTTTAGCAGCGCTTTGGAAAAGCGCTTTCTAAGACTGACCTTTAGCAGCGCTTTTGAAAAGAGCTTTCTTAAGGTACCCTCTAAAAGGCCAGCTTTAGCAGCGCTTCCCAAAAAGCGCTTTCTAAGGGTGACATTTAGAAGCGCTTTTGAAAAACGCTTTCTTAAGGCACCCTTTGAAAGCGCTTTTTTAAGCGAATTTTTTTTAAAACCTACAGCAGCGCTTTTTTCCAAAAGCGTTTTCTTTTATGTGCTGCTAAAACTTATTTTTGGCGCAGTGACACTTGACTTTCTCACGTGTTACATCATATAAACGCTTATATTGACTGATTTCTTAATAGCTAAATCCTAAATTTGTCACATGTATACACTAATCAAATCCTTCATTTTCTTAAAATCAACATCCATTTATAAAAAAAATATGTGAGATAATATATGGACAACTTAATAGTTTTGTATGTCATACAATTGTTCTTTTATTTCAAGTTTTTCCTATCAACACATGTATTAAAAAGTTATAAAAAGAACGTTGAACTTATAATTAAATTTGTATGTATAATAATTTTAAATACAATTCAATCAACATAATTCTAAGAAAAGAGTGTTGCTTTTATAGTTAAAATTGTTTTAATTTTAAGTAAAAAAGATTAAAAGTTTTAACAAAAAGTCTGCGGGCAAAATCTGCTCCGTCCTGTCTGTCCCACTTTTTAAAGCGGGTTAGGCAGGCCGAACCAACTTAAGGTACCGAACCGAAAACCTCAGCCCAACCCGTCAAAAATTCCGGATCAAACGACCCGATTCGTTTTGCCACCCTTACTTAAAATCAAAACTTTTATTAAAAGGTCTATCTTTAGAGATTTTTATAAAAGATAAGAGTTAAATAAGTTTTTGATCAATCTAAATATTCCAGATTTCATTTTTAGTCCTTCCAATATTTTCCTTCAAGAAATCGTCCCTTCAAAATTTTCCGTCTGAATAATTGATCCCTAACGTCAAATACAACTAACGACCGCTTATGTGGCTAGATAAATGGATTAAATAATTTCTTTATTATATTTCCATGAATTACAACGTGTACACTAACCCAATTTAAAGAGGAAACTTATTCCATTTGACCTAATTTCTTTTCTCTTTGTTCATCTTCTTCATCCATTGTGAGAATCTTCAAGGTACTTGGTTCATTTGTTCATTTTCTTCCTTCGTTCATCTTAGTAGTTCATCTTCTTCCTCCTGCAGCTTGATAACATAATGTCTTCTACTTCGGTAAAATTGCGAGTTGGGAAGTTTTGTGGGTGTCAGGTAGGAGTGTTTACAGTGCGGTTTGGGCGGTTTTGAAGCAAAAAATCACCCGAACCGCAAGAGAAAAAACATGCGGTTCAGTTTGGTTCGGTTGACTTTTAAAAATAAATCAGAACCAAACCAAACCAAACTAATGCGGTTTGGATTGGTTCGGTTGATTCAGTTTTTTACAAAAAAAATATTAAGCCATACATACATATATAGAGAAAAATATAATTTTGTGTTTAATTGTTCATACATTACCATAAAAATATTTATAATTGTCAAAATAAGTTTATAATTTGATACATAAAATTGCATATTATAATTTTATCTAAATCTAAAGAATGATATAGACAAGATTGCATTCTTAAGTAAATATTATACAAAGAATACGATAAAATATATTTTGTGAAAATAGTATTTATAGATGAATAATATTTTATTTTTTTATGATTTGTAAATTAAAATAAATATCATACAAAGTATGATAAAATATACACATAATACATGTTGATTTCTCTAAAGAATTAAAGACACATATATTAGTTTGTAAGATTTTATAACATAATGTGTTTTTGTTTGGTTTGATTTGGTTTGCAAAATACAAACTGCAAATTAAACCGAACCGCGCGGTTCCGTTAGAAAATAACCCAAACACATCAGAACAAAATATGATTTTTTGCGGTTTCTGTTTGGTTCGATTGGGTTTTGCAGTTTTTTATTGGGCCGATTTGGTTTTAAACACCCCTAGTGTCGGGTTCAGATGGTCTCGTATCAATGCAAGAATGAACCGAATAAAGGTAGGTTGTTTTGGAGATGTCCTTATTGGAGGAGTGCTGATACATGTAATATGTTCATATGGGATGAAGATGTTGCAAAAAAATCTGGAAATGAAGATGTAGCCATTACGAACTCAGAGTTGGAAGCCATGACATCTGTGGGATATATGAAGATTCAAGGAAGAAGAACAATAACTTGAAGACCAAGTTGAAAACATGGAAATTTTATGGAAGATTGAAAATGTTGTGTCTTGTTGTGTCCTTTATGATCAATGAGTATTTTGCTATGAAATGTAGTTGCTGGACTAGGTGTAATGTAGTGATTTTGAAATGTAGTTGTTGAACTTGATTAATGTTGCAATGTAGTTGTTGAACTTGATTAATGTACTGAATTTTCAATGTAGTTGTTGAACTAGGTGTAATGAACTTGATTAATATTATGAAATGTAGTTGTTGCAATATAGTTTGTTATGATTAAGTTGATATAATTTACAATATTTGGTATAAAAAGCTTGTAACATGACTGTATTTAGCAAGATGATTTTAAACTTAAAATACAAAATACATAAGATTGATAAGGTTCAAAATATAACATACATAATGTTGAGCTCTATTGCATAAGTTTCAAAGTACATAATATTGAGTTATAATACAACATACATAAGGTTCACAGTACATAACAAAAAACTTGATTCATAATACATAAGGTTCAACCAAAACACATAAGGTTCATAAGTACCAAACAAAACACATAAGGTCCATCTGTTTCACTCCTAAGTCTTCACTGAGTCATGCTCTTCTGGATATCATCTCAATTCTTCTTCCCCTAGCACTTCCAACACTTGAGTTTTCTTCAGGAATTACAAATGGATCCTTTGGATCCTTCCCAGGTCCCATTATATCCTCTGTCTTCAAAGTCCTAAGTCTGTCACTCTTTATTTTTAGAGATGCAACAATCTTAGACTTTTTACTTGGTGATATCATTATTTTCACCTATTATGACAACATAGAGTTATCAAGGTAAATAAACATAACATACCAAATAAGTCTATTGGAACAAGTTAAACACTTACAAGATCACTTATACTTGGCTTGTTGGCTTCAGTTGGCACTGATTTGACAGTAGTCTTAGACACCTTTGGTCTTTGACCAATGAAGGTTTTGACAACAGGTTTGGGTACCTTAGGAATTGGACCAACATAGATTTTAGGACCATGCCTATTTGACTTTGCAGGACTAGTACCAACACAAAGTGATTCAACATCTAGTATGTAATCATCATTCAACAATGCTTCTAATTCATCAGGATCTATACCGCAATACATTTTCATTGCCTCAACAAAGCTTACAGAAGATTGTGTAAGGTTTACCTCAGGTTGTGCAGGGTTTTCTCCAGGTTGTTCAGGGGTCACTTCAGTATGTGCAAGGGTTTCTTCATGTTGAGCAGGGGTCACTTCAGGTGGTGCATGTGTTTCTTTATTTTGTGCAGTAGCTGGAGCTTCATTTTGTGCAGTAGTTGGAGCTTCAAGCTATGCAGTAGTCGTTGATTTCTTAATCTAATTTATCTTATCCTCGTGTGCTTCCAAATAGGTTGCCTTTGTTGCAGTCATAATGAGATCTCTGTATAGTGTACCACCTCCAAACTTATTTTTGAAGTTGGCATATAAATGCCTTAGGCAAAACCTATGTTCAAACTCGGGATATTCTTCCTCAAATACATGCACCAATCCATGTACACAATTGAAAATGAACACTAAATCAAGAACTAACATTAAACACAATTGAAAATGAACAATAATTATCCACCATTATCCACTTGACTTGTACCAACACCATTATGCACATGACCTGTACCAACATCATTTTCCACTCTATTGTTTAACCCTTCACCTATGTCATCATCAAAATCGTGCATTCTCTCCTCTTCACTATCTTCGAAGTGTATACCATTCAAATAATCTTCAAATGATTCATTATCCTTATCATCTTCATTTTCCTCAACACAATCATGGTCTTTTTCTTTCTCTAGTAACCTCTCCATATAAGTCTTATCACCACTTGATAATCTTGCCTCTGTATATATCTCAACATCACACTTAGTCTTATCAACACATAGAGCTAACATTGTTGCATCCTCATCATTAACAAAGAGTTTTAGATCATTTTCAAGACAACCATGTTCATCCTTCCACCACATTTTCACATCTTCAATTTTAAACGAAGAATCCATCCCCTTAATTAAGTCACATGCTTTAAAGTTTGACCAACAATCAGAGTCTTGTCTAATTGTATCATAAACACCCCCTTCATATCTTAACCCTACATCCTTTACAAATGATCATTTGGTATAAAATACAACCTTAAATAACCCTATATCCTACACATTATAAGAATGAACAAAGGTAAATCAGACATTACCATCAGAGTCAAAGCAAAAACCCTAGATTTTTTCAGTCAACACAACAAAATAAACATGTATGATTTTCAAAGCAACTGGGGCACAAAACAAACTATCAATACTTGAAAGGAATAAACATTAACAAGTGAGACTTACCTTATCGTTGCTGGGAGCTTCACAAATCATGTTTTGGAGAGAGAGAACACATAGACGACTAGTGAATGTGAATTAGGGATTTTGAAATAATTAGGACTTTTTATCAAGATGAGAAATGCCACCTAAGTTAATGAACTTTATCTCAATAAAAAAATTAAAGATTTAATTCACATGTCTTGCCACGTAAGCAACCATTAATAATATTTGACGTTAGAGATCAATTATTCAGACGAAATTTTTTGAAGGGACAACTTCTTAAAAAAAAAATATTGGAGGGAATATAAATCAAATCTAAAATATTTAGAAGGAAAAAAATCATTAACCCAAAAAATAATTAATATTAAAAAGCAAAATCATGCATTTCTCTAAGTCCATAGATTTTTTTTAAGTGCTACTCATTTTCCATAATTAATAGTAGTAGTTAGCATAAGATAAAATTATGTAGTATGAAACAAGAAACATGCAAAATCTTGAATCGTGATTTTCTTGCTGCATAACGTGTGCGCAAGTGCAAGTTGCGAAAACAAGGAGTCATCTAAGGAAAAAGGACTAAATCGTCCATCTACAATAACTAATTAAAACTGCAACACCGTCGTCTCACACTGCGTTTTCCCTTTCGGTTCGGATCTTCAAATCAAACCGCTCCTTTTCGAACCGGACGTCGGCGAAGACGGCCGAACTGGGTTCCTAACGCCGCGGCACTGGCGGTGGCACGCGACGGCGTTCTGTAATGCTATTGATCTAGTTCCGCAATGGCTTCTAACAACCCCTCGCTTCGCCCTGAGATCGGACCCGATGGTCTCGCGAGAGAAGCTTCCGTCATCGGCTATACCGAGAGGGTTCTCTCTCTTTCTCTTCTCACATCTTCGTTTTGAATTTGTAACTGTATAGTTTTTCATTGATTTTGTTCTGATTTTGTTGCAGATCATCGAAGAGGAGCAGCTTCAATTGCAGAAGTAACTTCTCTATCTATTTCTGTTCAATGAACTTGTGCTGCATTATGAACTTTTTAAATGTGCCTGCACTTATCACATTGTTTCACTTTAGGTCATTTTATTCTAATGTTGAAATTAAATTTAATGATATATGGAGTTTTGTATGTAATTTCTTGTTCCTATCTAAAACGCTTTCTTAATTTATTTTTACCTATGAAGCCCTGACACCATGAACACCGGAAACATGACTCTGAATCTGACACCATGAACACCAGAAACATACCTCTGACACTGACATGTCGACACATTTGAAAGAATGAATAAACTAAACTTAATTACTAGTGTCGGTTTTGGTTTCGGACATTGACACACCTTTTTTCAGAGGTGTCCGTGCTAAGCAAATATGTTTACCGAAGTAAGAATTAGATACTTCTGAGAATTTTTGTAATTCTATGTTTTTCCTTTTTTTTGGTAATTAATTCTATGTTTTTCCGTGTATTGACAACCAAGTAATGGCTATATAAGATGTAGAAGCTGATTTTATTTGTTGGGGTGATACTGTGGATGGTAAATTTTAGGTCAATAGTTGTGAGAGATTCAATTAGATTCATGAAGAATGATACAGCAAATGACATTTTTATTTTTATATAATTTGATATTTTCGTTAAACTTGAAATGCAAGTAATGAGTTTACAGAAAAAAGTAGTCAGAAGGTGATAAAATTTTGCATCTGTACTTAATATGTTCAAATATTATATGGTCATTTGAATCAATTTCATTGTTATTTGGTGGTAACACTAGTAATCCTTGTTTATGATGCACTACAAAGTTTCTACCAGAGTAGTCAATAGCTGGCGCTATCCTGCTATAGCGGTAGCCGAACACTATGGAAAGAGCCTTACCGATATAGGGGAATAGTGGGTAGCGGGGGCGCAGCAGTTCCGTCCCGGAGCGGTTTCTATCCCTCTATCCTTTTCTCCTCTGAAAAACCAAAATCACTCTCTTAAATTTAAAATGTTTTACGGGTAATTTTGGGATTTTCAATCAAAATTGAGTTGAAACTCAACCCTATCCTTTTCCTTCTCTGTTTTTATTTTAATCACATTGAAGAAAATGAAGAGTTTGAAGAAGATAGTAGGGTGCAGGATGAAGAGGAATATATTGAAGAAGAAGAGTTGTTTGATGATGATTTTTTGCTTTAAAAGACTTCAATCATGATGATATTTGATTTCTATGATAGTTTGAATTTTAATATTTAGTACTTAAGTTTGAATTTTGGGATGTGATGTTTTGATTAGGATTTGTTGATGTTAAGAGTTTCGATTAAGACTTGTTGGTTTTTGAGTGTTATTTTTTAATTAAGTCTTGTGCTTTGATTTGTAAATATTTTAGGTTTTTTTTAAGTTATTTGTTTAATTTTACATTCAAGATGTGCTTTTTATTTCTTGATTTTACTGTTTTAAATTGTAATTTAGTATAAAATATGTAGATCATGGAGTGAGATCTGTGACTTGTGTATAAAGCTAATCATTAGTTAGTTTACCTATACTGAACTAGTATCTATTTTGGGGATTCAATTTTTTTAAAGTCGGAGCAATTATTCCTGTGAATTACAAGTAAAAGTAGATGCTTTTTTGTAGTATTGTTAATATAAAATTAGTCCTCTATTTATTGCCCCTGAAAACCCTTTGCAGCCAATCAAGTAACTACTCAATCACCTTAGTGTCTTTTGTAATTGTTCTTTTATTATTATTAACAGATATATACAAGAAAACTATTCAAAAATCCGCAATGTGGAGCGTGAGCTTGCAAATCTCTCGCTTGAGATGAAACTTACAGCCGGCCCTAAAAAATCAGGTTTCTGATAATTATTGTTGCTCCTTCCATTATAACTTTAAAAAGGTTGTTATGGTGAAATGACTTTTCTTTTCTACATGGTGCATACTTTAAGCACTTGAACATTTGAGGAAGAAAATAGAACAATCAACTGAGAAAATTCGTGTAGCCAAGATAAAAGAAGAACAGGCCCGTAAGGTATTTACATTAATGATCTCTCTGTTTCTCCTGCTATTTTCATGTTAGCATTTAAGTGGAGTTGTGTACTGCACTATGACAGCAACACTACCCTCTGTTGGAATTCTCAATATTGCCCATGATTCTCTTGGATTCTATGTGAAATATTCTGTTATTGATTGAATTATTTATTACAACTGAGTTGGATCTATTTATAGATCTTTCCAACAACCTGTTTTAGTAGGTCATGGGCTAGCACTGACTCACACATGTCAGTCAGTTTGTTAGGTTGCTTATAATTGTTTCTATATATGGTAGACAGTTAGTTGCAAGGTACTATATTTTGGTGATGAGTATGTGGGCATATAAGGTGATGTAGGGCACCCTGCTGATTCCGGAATTGAGTAAAAGGTTTAAAGGTTTGAATTCTCCACCCAGTCAGTTTGAAGGGGGAGTTGAGTTGTAACCATTGTTTTGAATTGTTGAAATGTAGTGAAAGCATTTGACTTCCTTTTTATTCGGTAAATCCATGTAAATCTGGTGTGTACATATGATGGATGTGAGAGGTGCAAAGCCCCATATATTACTATAATAGACTAGTTCAAAACGTTGTGTAAATGGTTATAGAAGAGTGAGATAGTATCTATGAGATTTACCTAGACAACTAGAGTTATAAAAAGTATCTATGAGATTTACCTAGACAACAAGAAGTGAAAAAATCGTTTGTGCTTTTATTGTTGAAGGGAATATTGCAAGATTTGAGTTCAAGGTGTTGAACATCCACACTTGGATGTCCAAGCCTAGAATGCCAGGTGGAAAAAGAAATAGCATTTTCTGTTGATGTATTATAATAAGACTGGTAGAAGTAGAAATTCTAATCCAGTTTGACTGAGCAGGCTAGGAAATTGTAGAGGCCATCCCTTTCAAGCCATCCTTTGAGAAGAATCTCATTGGAAGTCTGACATTTAACAAAACATCGATTAGGATGGAATTCAAAGTAGACTTCACTGTTTTTGGCAAACTGAGTAACACTTAGTAGATTTTTGGTGATAGTTGGAACGTGTAATAGATTTTTTCAAACTAACTGAAATTTGGAGTTTAAAGAAGACTTGAATTTTGTGGAACCAGTTGAAAGGACAGACAAACTTTGGCCAATTGCCTATGATTAATCTCATTAGGACCTCTAAAAGGTGACAATTGTTGGATGTTCATTGGAGGTGACACGGTGAGAATATGCACCTGAAGCAAGGTGCCAATTCACTGCACTTGCAGAATCAGAGTTGGCCATCATTGCCTCTGGCTTGCGTTAGAGGGCACCACTTATAAAAGGCATCATGGGAAATTGAGGGAAATTAGGGCTGAGTTTTGAGGAACCAGTTGAAAGGACAGACAAACCTTGGCCATTGCGTGTGATACTCATTAGGACCTTCAAAAGGTGACGATTGTTGGATGTTCATTGGAGGTGACTGGTGAGATGTACTTGAATCAAAATACCAATTCACTGAACCTGCAGAATCAGAGTTGGCCATCATTGCGTCTGGCCTGGTTTGGGGGGCACTAGTAATAGAAGGCATCATGGGAAACGGGGGGAATTAGTGAAGGTAGGCATGGAGAATGTAACTGGCTAACAAGGCATGGATGAGTGTCGATAGCTACCAGTGGATGGAGTTTGTGTGCTAGCAGAATACCAAGGAGAGCTATAAGAGTTAGGGTTATAGGAATTACTATGTGAGCTTTGAGCTAGAGGTGCATGTGGCATGTGTTACCTTAAAAATCTTTTAAGGTATATATTGCGTAATTAATGAGGGTAGTCCCACGAGTTAAGAAGAAGATATCCTACAAATAAAGGTTGTAAGGAAATTAAGCTCGAGAATGAGAAGTAGTTAGAAAAATTATTAGTCAACAGTGGAAAGTCGACACAATTGACAAACAAGCTAGTCGAAGTTTGGTCTTGTCGACCAAATTGAAATCTAAGACTTAGAGAAGTTTAGATCATCTATCTACGCTAAAGGATGGCGTCGAAGTGAGCGCTGGAGCGGGATAATTTTGAAATTTGAAAATACCAGCAGTTGCAAGACAGTT